AGGCTGGCAGGTCACCCATAGATCTGTCTGTCTATATAGACATGACGAGGAGAAACTTTTATCATACACTGAAAAATAGCAGTTGTATAGAAGAAAATAACTGAATGTCAAACTTCTAGAAAGGTTTCTGGAAAGAGTTAAAAATTAAATACTATGTACAATACTGTTTGTTCATCTGCTGTCAGAAGACAGAAGTCTATTAAAATACTTTTATTCCCGCATTGCTCATTTTCTACTTTGTCCCACTGCTCAAACGTGGAACATGGTGCCACATGAAACCCACGTCACCTTCTCCAAAGGGGGACAGCCGAAGGGTTGCAACCAGACTTCACTCTTCCTTCAGGAAAAAAAAAGAGGATGCAAGAGGAGTCGCAGTGTATTTGTTAATGTCTTGGAAACAGAAACATTTCACTGTCAGTATTAAATCGCCTTTGTTGTGAACTGGCAAAGCCCATAAGCCCCGTGGGGCAGCTACACCACTTCCAAAGCATGACAGCAGCACTTGAAGCACGCAGCTGACCAGAACAAACAGTTCTCTTCAGACAATTAAAATGACATACCGGTTTATGTATTTGGAAGACTGGGGCTCTCATTTCCATTTTTATTTCTTTCTGTTGCAGGCAGTTGTGTAAAAGTCAAAGAAGGTATCACACAGGACAGAGCATTTATGCTATGGTTCATTACAAGTTCTTTTCCCAAAACTGCAACACCACAACTTCAAAAGAAAACCACCCCAACAAAACCAAACCCAAACCAAACCCCTACTGTCACTGCATCTTGCCTTTATTTCAACCTCACTGATCAAATAGTGTCTAGAATTGGTAACATCAAACCCAACAGTATAAAATACTTGATCAAAATATTCTTACTATGGTTTAGAGGGACACTGCTGTAACTCAATGGTGGTATTTTCCCAAGAACTTAACTTGAAGTCAATTTCTCTTGTAGAACGACAATACGAAATATTCTTTCTCCCCCAGTTTTTAGTTCTTTTTTTGCAGACTAATAATCAAGGTCTTAACGGTCTTGAAATTCTTGGCAGTACAATATTTGAAACATCAATATGCAACAGAGGTAAGTTCTAAGTTAGCACCTGTGCAATGAAAAAAGGGGTGGATGAAGAGTACAATCTACAGTTGACCCTCAGGATGGACGGGCGGCTTTTAAAGGCTAACAGGAGGCCCAGCAATGCGTACTTCAATGGAAAATATGAGAAGCTCATGTAAAAAACTGAAATTGAATGGTTGCTTGTGTTTTCTTGCGTGCACATTTAATTTATAAAAGCCTTTTTTCAATTTCTAAAGCAACTAATTTAAAGTAAAACAGCTTTATGATTTAGGTCAACATTCTGTAGCCCTCAAGTACAAAAATATAAATACAAACTGTTTAAACAGTATCTTTAATGAGATTCTGGCAGTAGTTTTTTTTTTTTTATCTAACAAGACACATCACGTAACAGGTCTGCCACTGAACTTGCTTAAGAGTAAAACCAGCTTCAATATGAAGCTGTTAAGGTATCAAAACCCTGCTTTTTACATGCTAAATATTTTCAGCAAGTGTGCACTTAAACACAGCAATGAACTTAGCTATAAGAATAACTAAATACATGAAACTCTGCATGTGGAACATAATTCATAGAACTGGTTACAACAAATGATTACCTGCATTTCATTAATTTAAAAATGGTACAAATCATGCAAAACAATTCTAGAGATAATGCAAAGAAAGCTACCAGTGTTTGCAAGAAGTGTTCAACTAAACCAAAATTACATTAAATGAAATATGCATATTTACTAGCAAAGATCTATCGCTATTTCAAAGAAGCAGAGGTAAAATCTTCAGGTTTTGAATGTCAGTTATACTGCAAAATGTCATTGCTCTTGCTTAATGCAGAAGCACATGCTTAGAAGCCCAGAACTGCTTATTCAGAAAAAGTCTGCTGACAATAGTTCTGGCTTCCCTAGAATCAGAGATGCTGCATGGATAGCAGAGATTTGCAAGAATCAAAGGCAAAGGCACCCTATTCAGTTAGCCAAAATGGTAGCATTCCCTTTCTCATAAGCATGAAGACGGTAATGGGGCAGATGATCAACATTTCTACAAAGGCAGCATTTTAAATGTTATCATTAATTTCCCATTTTGTAAATGCCATTAGCAGACACCAGCTTCTAATAGTTTATGTATAATAACGCTGCAGGATGAACTTGGGATTTTATTTGTCCTGATTTACAAATAAAGACTATTACTAATGCTTTAAAAGACTATTTTTACTATCTAAAAAGTTTAACTCTTATTTTCCAATAATTTACACCTCAGCTGGACTACCATCTCATATTGTTTCAAACATCTAACACTGCTTACTGGAATTTTATAAAAGTTGTACCTCATGTATTAAGCAGCAGGCAATAACAATGGTCTTTCCCAGCACAGCTGCATCTGGCTGGCTACTGAAAGATTAGGAATATTTCTAGAACACAGGAAAACTCATGCAGTTTGGTAGAGTTTGCTGTCATTTCACAGTTTAAGTTTCCTTTAGTCATTGCACTTCTGTTGATAGTCTTGGGTTTTTTAAAATATTATTCCGAATCTGAATTTGAACCAGCAATCTTCTTTTTCTTCTTTTTACCATGTTTCTTGTGCTTCTTTCTCTTTTTTGTTTTATCCTAAAAAAAAAAAAATAAATGGAAGTTACTGTATTATAAAATTGCCATCTATTAAATTCTGCTAACGCAAAATGAGAGCACGGAAAGGATATCTTTACAAAGACATTTCAAAAGAGATTTCTATAAAAGCCTATTGAGAAATCACAAAAAGAAAACCCGTATTTTAACCAGTAATTTGCACTATTATGCGCAGTCTTCCATTTATCTCCATCATGGTCTGGCTATTTCACACCTCTCATCACTGTCATTATTACATTTCCTAATCTTTTCAATGATTTTCAGTGCTTTACAGGTTTGTGAGAAAAGTAATAAGGAAGTGCTTTGACAAGCAATGACATCTTATACATGTGGGAATAACTAGGATGTTCACATATTTTAAAGTCAGTGCTTGTATTTACTGTGCAAAATTAAATAGTTCAACACCACTTACTAGAATCTCCAGCACTTGCACCGCATTTAAAATGTAACAATTATGATCTCAATTGTAAATATGAATACACTCAATCAACCCTACTGGATTCAGTCCTGAAGTTATTATCCTGATCACTGTAATACAGAAGCTGAGAGATACAATCTTGTCTTTTTGCAAGCAGAATTTCAACTGGAATTCCAAAATAGGTGTGGCATTACATAAAACAATCTTGGTAGAAAAGCTTTGTTTTACACATACTACTTACACACACAATTCTTCTAAGAAAAAAAACCACAATCAGTCACTAGAAATTTTATGGCAAACAGCTTATATGATTATGAAAAAACAAACAGGTTCCATAGAAAATGTGTATTGAGTATCACCAATACTCCTATGCTTGCATTTTTAGGTGACTAATGTAAGCTTTCCCTTCACCGTAACTCATCTACACAACTGAGATGTCTAATTAGGGACACTGTTGCTGACAGGGGAGATAGAAAGATACACAGACATCTCCAGTGGCCATTTTGGATCTCAAAATCACTATACTCCTAACTAAGGAGCCTCAGGTACACGTCATGAATCTGAGTTCTATATTAATCACCACTGAACCTTCCTCTCACTTTTACCAACAGAAACAAATCACCAAAATTGAGAAAAGCAACAGGTTGCTGACAGCTTTTTATGTGGTTGGGGGAAGAATTATATTAATGTAGATGTTGCAGCAATTATGTCCTAAGGCCCTTTTCTTGGTCTGGTAGAGGGGGCTTACCAAAGAAGAATTATACACAACACTAACAATGGAATAGCACTGATGGCCGTGTGGCAAACTGCTACCCTACTCAATGCTATACAGATCTTAGTAGTTCTAGTAGGTTGATACAGAGTAAAAGATATGCTACAGTAAGTGTTAAACTTCTATAAATCTCAAATCCTATGCATCTCTATAATGGCAAGTTATCTACAGTGACAAATTCTTCCTTTAATTCAACAACTGAAAAAACTGACTTCAGCAGGCAAACAGAGACATTGTTAATTTAGATTCATGTCACAGTAGACTTTTGCTATAAAACACTTGTATTACTGAAAAATGTGACATTGGAAATTAACCAAGTACAGAGTATTTGTATCCTCAAACTACAGTATGAATAAGAAGGATACTTGCTGTTTTCTCTTTTTCCTCGTTTTTCTTCTTTTTTGCTTGCACCTAAAAAAAATTACATCAAATATAACGGGAGAGCAGCTTTGGAAATGCTGTTTTAAATAAAATGTTGAGCTTTTGTTGCATGGAAATGAATGATGGCACAGCAGTGGCAGAACATACTGAATAACCAGTGTTTCTTCATGGGTGGCTATCTGTGTTGTATTCTAGAATATGCATTATCCTATAGACATCCGATTTGGGAAGACACTCTGCTTTTAATACACAGCAGAATAAGAAACAGCAGAGATATAAAGTTAAAATTACTAAGCTGATAATGTGGCAAAAATTCTTAATGAAAAAAACAGCAACACATTGGAACCTTCCCAGATTTTGTAATCCTACAGGAATACAAATCCTCAAGGTAGATATACACAAGGGTGAGAGTAAGATTATTATGTCCAACATTTTTTAATTCACTGGGAAATGGAGCCAAAAAATTTAGCCACCTTGAAATCTGCCAATCTATTCACAAATGTTGGAGAGAAATCCTGCGAAAGACACCCCACCCATCACTTAGCCTCATTTCATTGAGCTCTAAAATAGCCATAAAAAGTTGAAGATTTTCAAGAAAATGAATCCAAAATTACTTGTGATAGAAGCTGTACAAAACAATTCTTACTAAAAGTTTTTATTAAAGAGAAAAATACAAACAACTTCGAATGTGCTTCACTCTTAAATTCAAATGTAGAGAGCAGAATAGTTTCAACAATATATTAAATTAAGCTAGTTCGTTCATTCACTCATGCGAAACAGTAAGCTAAAAGCATTGTAACATCTGAAATTGCGGTTTCACACTGACCTCCTCTGTCTGATCTGATTCTGATAAGGATTCTGATGATAAAGGTCCATCACCACGATCGGCTTTCTTCCTTTTCCTATGGTGATTTTTGCCTTCCTACACAAAGTAATATGAGTAAAGTCAGGCCCTTCAAATTTGATAGAACTTCTGCTTAAAACTTAGATTGAATTATTTCTAAGTTGTGAAATATTTTTAAATGTTATTGACATTAAACTAATTACTCATCATCAACAAACTACCCTACCAACTGTTAAAATGCTTTTAGTGGAAATAATACTTTTCCGTATATTCCTTTCCCTTGTTACCAAGATACAGCAGCCTTCTAAAAGTGAGAGGAGTAATACTACAGTATAGTCTCTTATTTTAAATAGTAACACATGAAGAGGCAAGCATTTGAAAGTAAAATGTTTCACCACTTTTAAATACTACTGAGCAAATGAAGATGTCTCAATATGCGCATACAAACACTGCAGCTTCAGACTCTTGCTTTGTTGATGAAATTAAAAGACAAAGCTCCTCTGTATTTGTGTCCAACCAGGACAAGCTGTCCCTGCCAGCTGCACTTCAACACTTCACATATAATTCAGTATATTTACAGGACAGACTTTTTTTAGTTTTTAAATTTTCATGCTGCATGAGATTGCTCTGAGCTAATCCCCCTCACCCTCCTCGCTCTGGACCAGGCAAGGTGTTCCTAAGACCCAAGCTACTTTCATTCCATCTGTAAGGCCAGAAGCTGAAAAAAATCTTGCTAATCATCCTTCTGCAAGGTGGGATCACACATCTCAGCTGTGCTATTTAGCCTATTACAGGCATCTCAGTCCTTTCCCAAAAGTACTCATAAAAAGTACATGATAGAGCCCCTTTGAGAGACAGGGTGTGTTCAGATAGGGGAAGATCTCTACTCCCCAAATGCCCTTTGCTGTCGGAAGATGTGTGAAAGTAGCATTACACCTTAACCAAGAATAAGGGGCTATGGTAGACACTTGGTCTTTGAAGAGAAGCTACTCAAAGTTAAAACAAGTTGGTGGGAAATGCGAACTCTGCAAAATGGAAGTAGGAGCAAGGAAAAAAAAATCAACACATTTGCTTTATGCAACAGAGAATTTGTACATCAAAGTCAACAGTATTGACTGTAGTAGTAGAGGCCGATGTGATAAGAAAGATAACTGGAGAGAAAGACTAGGGTGGACTCTGAAAGTATTTTTAGTTTACATATAGTGTAGAAATAACCAAAATTTAAGTCGACAAGATTATTTGCATTAAACATAATGGAAGGAGGAAAGTCCTCAGATGTGTGTACAAAATGGTGAGGTGGTAGGAAGGAGAGAGGGTTTTCGTGCTCAGAGAAAAAGAATAAGGTAATTTTTCTTAAGCTAATACATTTTTCTCTGGAATTGTTCAGAGCTGTTCTAAGTACAATATCTATAATTATGACTACATTTAGATAAATATATCCTCTGCTTGATGTTCCTTAATTTACAGCAACAAGCCAGTATCCTACCAGGCATGCCACTGAAATATCATCACACATATTTTTAGCTCAATGTGACTGCTCAAGATAAAACCCAAAATACTAGAATGCAGCTAATGTACTACAGCAGATTAGGTACTTTCTTCATTTATGTTCCTACCAAAAACAGATCCAGCAGTTTCCACTAACAACAATTGCTAAAACAGGAGCTGAACCCAACTAAAAATCTGCCTCAAACTGTGGGTACTGAATACCTTCTGACTGTGTAGTTTTGGACAGAAAATTTCCATAGGTACAAACTGAGACATTCAATATTTGAATTAAAAAAAAAACAGGGGGGGAATAGAGGGCACTCCATTATGTATGTAAAATGCAGTTCTGATGTAAGTATTTCAAGAGTAAAAATACCTTCTCTTTTTCATAATCTTCCTTTGACCTTTTCTTTTTTGTGCTGTCCTAAACAGAAAGAAAAACATAAACCATAACAAAATTATTTCAGGAAAAAGGTAGGATTCCCAAAAGCAGTCTGACCCATTCTCTTTTTCTGTCTATCAAAGGTCATTCTTCAAAGTTCTTTCTACCTTGCAGTTCACAGTCATTTTGATGCAGCTGCTAATTTCCTGAACCAGCAGTGTGAAAAGGCCTGTATGGAATCAGGTAACAGCGTACTCTGTACACGTAGAAAGCCTCTGGAAAGTATACCAGATATCACTACTGTAACCACATATAACATGTCTAACATACAACAGTCTGGAGTCTTTATTCTCTATGCATGCCCATCTCTGCTGATCAGGCAGGGGTTAAGCAGGTATTTCCATGCAGTTTTCTGCCCTCCAATTTGAGCAGTAAGGGTATCTCTGTGTCCCTTTATGGAGCAAAGGTTTTCAAACTCCCATTAGCACAAATTCATAGGTGTATGCAAACAGTGATTCATCGCAATTTATACCACAGTGAATTAGGTATTCCAGTGAAAGCCTGTGATAAAGTCTACACAGAGTCTTAACAACTTGCTGTATTATTAATATTTAGGCAAGAAGTACAGTTACTATCCACTGTAACACAGGAAAATGCTAACATAACAGAACCAATTGCCTCATACATCTTCTCCACCTTTTTGTTCATCCAGTAAACCTGTGTTATGTCCATTGCTCTACTTTCAGAAAAGGAAAAAGACACCCTCAATTTAATATGCGTTTGGGCAAGGCTCAGTTCTCCAAGAGGAAAATACTCAGTCCACATGTATTTAGAAATACAATATTCTGGCCACTGATATCCTGCAGTATCTGTATTTTCACAGATGGTGTTCAATTAAATAGCATATTCACAAGAATTTCACAGAACATTCTTTTTTTTTAAGTTTTAATGTAGTATTAAAACTAAACATTTGAGCAGCACAAAAGCTGCATATGTCTGAATTCAGAAAAATAGCTAAAAATTGCTGGAATAAAGCACGTTGATCTTCTAAAGATCAAATTATTTCTGCCAGGCGTTGTGGCCAGTGGAGGTAGATTCCTGATTGCATCTGGAAGATACAAGTGCATTTCAGCTACAGTAAGAATGCATGGCTTTACATTTGGAAGATAAAAACCCCATACTGATATGCTAAAGTCAGAAATGTTTATGTCTTTATAACATAGATCAAGAAAACTTGCCAAGGGTAACACATGTGCATATTTACCTTGCTATCTGACTCAGATTCAGAAGTTGAGCTTGCTGAAGATTTCCGTGAGGAGCGGTATTTCTTTTTCCTTCTTTTCTTCCCTTGCTTTTTATCCTATCCACAAATATTGTAGGAAAAAAGAAAAACACAACCCTGAATTTATTCTCACAAAAATTAAAGACTTACATTAAATGTAAAGAATAGGGAACACCAAATTCCTACATGTTATCACGTTCTCTTGAGGAATAAAGTACACTACAATTGATTCTTTTAGCGGAGGACCTTCATAACTCTTCTGCATTGAAAAAATGTAAAGTGGTGAAAAATCCAGGTTCTCTAGATTCTGTTTATTATTTAGATGTGTGCTGTAGAACCTGATTATCTGTAACAAAAGATTTTTGCTAAAAAGTAACAATAGTATGTTTGCATTTTTACTATTAGATGGGAGATTCTATTGAAAAAGCATACAATTCAATGTTGAAACAGAAAGGGATCCAGTTTACAAGCCAGCCACCCAAAATTTACAGTGTTCATAAAAAATTCTTGAACAGATATACATCTAAAATTCACTTTATTATATGTACCAAATACATAAAAAATGAAACAGTTTTATGCAAACCAAGCCCTGAAACAATATTCTAAAATGTATTACCAAAATCTGTGTTAAATAAGCCTCATGAACAAAACATGTTAGGTTCTAGTAAGTTAGTTCTTACCTCATCTTCTGAGTCAGATGAACTGCTGGAAGAATCAGAGCTTGATGAAGAAGAGGAAGATGAAGACAACTTGACCAAACACAACAAAAAGTGAAGCTTGTGAGATGCAGCATTTTGTCTGGCAAACAGTCAAAAGTCCATCCAAACACTCTCTTTGAAATGTCTTCATTTGCAAAGTATTATCAATGGCATTTTACTTCCAAGAAGCTGGTCTTACATAGATTTTCTTACATAAAATGTTAAAAAGTAACTTCTAACATTTTTCATTTAATAATATCTATTTAATGCTCTTTTCCCCCCTTTAAGCAGAAGTAACATTTTCCTTGCACAGAATGTACACCACCCCTCTCAAATAAAAACCAGTTAATTTAACAGCTAATTTCAAAATTACAGCTATACTCTCTTTTTACAAGAAAACTTAAATGACAAATAGGAACAACCCCAAAGCAAAAAAGCTCAGAAAACTGAAAATTTTGCTCACCCTATTCGATTTCTTCTTTTCCTTTTTCTTTTTCTTAAAAATAGAATAAAACAAATGTTACTTGGCCATCATGTTCTTTTGTCATGCATTTAGGTTTATGGACATTGATGCTGGCTTTTAAAATATATTTGTGACATTCTGTATTGGCAGCATTGATGATAAATCCAGTTTGGAATACAGACTGTATGAAACTGAAAGTAAGTTACCTCTTTCTTTTTGGAGGAACTCTCGTTTCCTAGTAATTTCTCCCTGTGTTTTTCCAGTTCTTTCCTCCAATTCTGAAAACAAAACCAAACAGAAACAGTGACATGAGTGTCATTACCACACAGCTTTTTTTAAGAGACCTTTTTCAAAACCCTGTCCTCTACTGGACATTATAGTTTTCACAAAATCCACAGAAAATAAACAACATATAATGTTAACCAAGGCTCTAATGTATTTGATTTTACAGAATATTAATATTCATTGAAATACCATGTTAGTTCACATCTTAATGTTCAAGTTATCTGGATTTAAGAGATTGTCATTTACCCTGAAGGTCATCGATTATGGTATTTTTGCTTTTGTATCACAGTGTTCTTGCTAGAGCATTTTAGAAAGCCAGGGCACCCTGCCAGAAAAACTGCTATTTTCTCTTAGTTTTAAAATACCTGAGGCAAAATTTCAAGACAAATTCTCCTGGCCCTTTTTCAATGTATGGGTATCTCTAGTGTCTGTTCTGGGCCATGTCTGTGTCAATAATGATTAGAATATTAAATTTTTATACACATCTTCATAGAAACCCTCTTATTTTTGTTAGGCCAAGCACACTGCATAGATAGAAGTCTCCTCTCATTCCTCCTTTTCAATCCTTCACAAGGCCTCTAGCTCTACCTAAAATCCAGCCCCCTTCAAGAGCTCTGAAACATCCAACCCACTCCCATCAGACTGAAAAGCTGCTAGCTTCCATCTGCACTATTCCTCCTTCCTGTGTCAGCCACATCATGTGCTCCCTTCTTTATTACTATTATTATGATCCCTCCCTTTCCTCACAGTGAGGCTATATTGGTATTGTATTGGCAAAACAATAATCCACACATTGTGCTGATGGGACAGAAATGTAAGGAATTAAGTAAGATTATACCTGTGCAATGCAATATGATACACAGATCCCCAAGTCAGCATACTGTGAATTAGCTGAAAAATGCTGCTGAGAGACACGGCAGATTAGCCAGGATACAGTACTGTGCGTAATGTGTTTCCATGGTCCAAGGCAGCATCTACACAGTATTGCAGTGGGTTGTATACTTTGATATACCAGCTACTCAGAGCTACCTGAGGGGTCTCTAACAACAGCCTGTGCTTCATTAGGCAGGTGTTCTCTTTAAATTATTTTAAGACTGTGCTAGTGTTATGTTTTAAACCAAAAAGCACGACATCTGTCAGTAATGTAGGAGAGAGAGCACCTCATTCACAGACTTAACAGTCTTTTCAACCGTTCAGAGATTTGCTCTTAGGAGCTTTAGGAAGAACTCCTGGCCATTTCACGATTCCCTGCATCCCTTCCTACCCTTCTGCCGTACTGAAAGGCTGTTATCTTCTATCCATGCCAGTTTCAATTATTTCACAATAAAGCAAAGATAAAAGCAGGAAACGAATGCGATAAAACACTAAACCAAACTTACCAAGCTAAAACTCACAGAGTGCAGAAAACCCGATGCTCTCAGAATAGCCCCCCATGACCCTCCAAATGCTGCTATAACTTCTTAGGCAAAAAGGTATAGCAAGAGCAGAGGTACTATGCTCTTTCAGTAACAGAGGAGGAGCATAATCTACTTCAACCTGAAACTTGCGCACTATGAAGACGACTACTGCTTGAAGCTTATGCCAAGATACCAGAACCCATGAAAGAACAGTTAAATTCATTGTATACTAATTTATTCCTATGTATACAAATACGTGCAATTTTCTTAGACTGTGCAGATCTCCAGTAGGTACCAAACACAAGCATCAGAACAGCTGCATTTATAGTAGGGAACCAGCATGGAAAGTAAACAGCTTAGGATGAGAGAGAAAGAAGTGCTTTACAGTCCTATCTGTATATTGAAGGCCATTCTTTGTGCCTTCTGTATCAATATTACATGTACATTCCTTGCCAAAGACGTCTGTTTCCAGCAATACACCTCTTTCCAATATATTTGGATTGTGTGACCTTAAACAAGTGAAGATTAGCACAACAGACGTTAATTCATCATACTGGAAAATGCACGAGTTTAATTTAATATAAACACATACATCTGTGTAACTATATTTACATTTATGAAAAGTTCAAGTTTTATTCAGCAGTAATTTTCAAAACTTTTTAATATAGTGTTTCCCTGAACTGAGAGTAGCTCTTCATTTCTTCAGTGGTTAAGGGGTAACCTTAACACCTGATACAAATGAAAGAAAACATTTACTCATTAAAAGCTTGAGTGAAGTGAAGTATTATGGGTACGTGGTGCTGCTAACAATAATGGAGGAAAAGTAGCATGTAAGATAAGAAGAATTGAGTATTAACATACTAATAACTTTACCAACCTCGTTCATCTTTTCTTCAAACTCAGCCAAAGCCCTAGATCCTTTCTTTTTCTTTTCTAGTTGCTCTTTCACTTCTTCCCTACATGAAAAGGATGATAGATCACAATTACTTTATTTTCACAATTAAAAATCCTTTCTTCAGTGTCTAACTTTTTGTAGGTTGTTTGAAGTTTAGCTTTGGCTGAACTTCCAACAGAAAGAAGAATGAAAGTATCTTAGATGTTATGCATATGGTAACCTAACCCTAATAACTTAAGTACAATAGCTAAAATCCCTCTGAAAGATCTGAAGCTAACTTTGCAATTAGGTAAGTTGTTCTCTAATGTCTTATGAGAGGTTGCAAAATGGACTGAATATAAAATAAGTTGTTGATAATATCTCAAAGTGATGATTTCGTTGGGGAGGGTAAACCGTGTTCTAAGAATATACCAGCAAAATGTTCTTCTAGAGATTACCTTGTTTAAAGATTAAATATATTTGCAGGCTTTAGGTATTAGGATTTGTGAAAGAGGTAAAATGACCAACATTTTCCTCTTCTGAAAAACACGTTGCCAAAATGTTTAAAGACAAATGAGAAATACACATTTCAAAATGGAATACTATTGTTTTTAAAAGAGGAGACTGAATGCATATTTAGAAAAGAACACCTTGGCCAGAGACAAGGAATCTTTCAAAATGTATTAATGTGTCTGGGGTGCGGGGAGATAGGTAACTATGTCATCTTAGTAAGAGAGAACAAATCTTTTTACTCAGAAGGGCAGACAAGTATTGCCACTTACCATGTTGGTCTTGGCCTGTTCAAGTAGTCTTGTATTGTTGGTCCCGAATTTTGGGCAGGACCTCGTGCTCTGGCCATAGCTATGGGATTCATATAAGCCTAGAATATGAAACAACAAAAAGAAATATAAAATTCGTCAGTTGTGCTATGATACCAAAATTTGTCCTTTTTGTTCTTCACAGAATCTTCTTCTCACTCACTGAAAAATAATTCTGACTTGTTTCTAAAAAGTAAAATATTTAACTAAATCAAGTTGATTTGGTCTGGCAGAAAGACTCAGGTTAAGTGCTTTCCGTTTGAGTTATACTGTGGCAGAAGGAACTCATCCACAAAGAGACCATGTTCATTACAATAATTCCCCTCCCTGAGCAATGACTTTGCAAACCGAGTACAGTATCACGATTGCTGAAATATTCTTCCTTGGGACACGGAAAATGTAATTAGATTTCAGCTCTTGCTCTCTGGGACAACTGATCTTATGCCTTTAAAGTTCTGCTCAAAATTGATGATAAATCAAAATTAATTCAACAAATTCTGCATAAAGTTTCTTGCTGTAGCACCAAAACAAGAAAATGGTGATGCTCTGCTACAATTATGCATGTATGAAAATTCTGTGACTTAGGGCTATTTTAAGGACCAAAAAAAATACAAAACCCCCAAACCCCCAACATTATGAGGTATTCCATCTTTCAAACCCATGCATCCTCTTCATATTCACTCTAAAAATGTAACAGGTTATAAAAGATGAATTTAAAACTTAGAATCCATAATCCACCTCAGCAATTAATTGAAAAACTCTAATCTAGCAAACAATTCTTCTTCTTTTTTTTTATGCCAGTAATATTTTTCTCATAAGAAAGGGAGGTACACGTACCCCCTTACCTCATGGGCTTTTATCACTGCATCATCCCAACACATCACAATTTACTTTTGCAAAACATAACACACACTGTTCTTACTGTCCACAGTTTGGAGGTGAGGAAAAAAAAAAATCAGTCAAAAGAATTACTAGCTTTGGTTGCCCAATTTGAGATTTTTTTTTAAGAGTACAACATTTTATAGATTTAAAGTAAAGATTCGACCATATGTGTAGCTTGTACATGTCCTGCTTTTTGTCAGGCCATAAAGTAAGCATTCAGAAACCACCATGCACAGTAAGCGGCCCTTTGTGAAAGCTGTCAAAAGCAGCAGCTGCTGCCCCCCCTTCTGCTCCCACCACTGCAGAAACAGCGGCCACAGACAACGCTGGGTTTCTAGACTGGACTGCAAGCAGGCTGGTGGCCTTCAGCTCTTGGGGCTATGTGTAGTCTTGGAAGAGGGACTCCAGGCTCTGCCTGGGAAGGGGCAGCAGGCCAGAGGGAAGCACTCCCCACACTGAATTTGGCTCATGGTCCATCAGGTGGACCACACTAAAGCGATACGAGGATTCTTTCCAGAGGACCGTTTTTTGACTCAAGTTGACTTTGCAACTCTAAGGGTGATATTTGCTGCCATTTCTTGGGGTTTTGCTCTGTTGCTTTAATTCACACAAAAAGGCGAACTAACATGAGCAAGTAACTAGATTAATCTCAGCTTGGCACTTTCTTTTGTAGCCAGGTGGATGTATGCGCTCAAGTAGTTATAGCACTTAAAGATACGTATTCACATTATTAACTCTAGCATTTTATCATATTACAAATCTACAAATGAGCAAAAATTTTGCATTTGAATTCAGCTTCGAGTGGAAAAGGAGCTCCTTTAGCAATGCAGGAAAGCAGTATTTGCACACTGTTTTCATTAAACAAAGGTAATTTCAATGTACTAGAACCACTAGAGAAGACAACAGAAATGTAATTCATGACTTGGCTTACTCCAGGGAGCAAAGTGAGTCAACTCTTTTTGGTTAGCATTCAAGAATTTATATCTGAAAACTCTAGCTTCTTACATAACTATTATTCCTAAAACCAAGGTTTCTTGCTGCTCTTAAATAAAAATTAGCTACTTCCTTAGCTGATCTAACCTGAAATGAATACCGCATTGCCCCCCAGCAGAACTGTCTCTCTACCTTCAGAACAGGCTACAACTGTCAAACGTTAGTCTTCTACTTCCTCAAACTGACCCCAGATAACTAGCTAGGAAGCTTCCTCCATTCAGTGGCTTGCTTTAACTTCCCCACAGCACGCACGTAATGACTGAATACTGCTCTATATTCCATGATTAGGAAATTTATGTCTTAAAACATGTTCTTATAATTTCAGACAGGTTTGTTTATGAAGAATTACTTCGCCAATAAACATTTCTTAGAAGTATTTACACTACTTTGCCAAACTGCATGTCACTGGCCAGAGAGAGCACTGAAACACTCTCAATAAAGGAAGTGCTTGTCTGCACATTCATTTTCTTCTTTTGGCAGTTTGCTCAAGCAGTTATTAAAAGGTATTTGTTGTATAGTTTTCATGCTCATGAAAAGCATAAGGCACCTTCAGTCAGCTAGGGCTCTCTGGGCAGGCAATACAAACTGTTACTGCCTTGGAAGTATCCTGCGGATGCGAAAACACCAAATTTAGTTTTCATCTCCAAACAGTCAGAATGATGATGTATTTAAGAAGGGACATGGGAAAGAAGTAACAGGTAGAAAGCTCTACAATCACAGAAGAAGGGCAAAGGGTCCTATATTATAACTTGTCTGTACTAGCAGCCATCATGGCATCATGAACCTTCTATAGAAATATAAAGATTTGCTGGCATTGGTAGGTGCATCCCAGCTGTCCTATTAAAAGAAAATTAAGACTAAATAGACACCCAAATACACCCAAAAACATTACAAGAGGGCAATACATTTCAAGCGTAGGCTGGGTCTTGCAGTCTAACACTGCGAACTCTTTTTCAGTAGACCCCATTATTTTCATGCCTCAATAAAGTAATCAAAGGCACTTAGCTATCCATTTGTATAACGTATATGTCCATTATATCTATGACATATTATGCCACCAAGGTGAGCAAAGCTGTTTCCCTGAATGGATCCCAGTATGAACTCATAGCACATACTAGAAAGAGACAAAGAAAGGGGGAAAAAATAGAAGTATTATGACTCGGTTTTAATCATAAAACTCATTAATTGTAAATTTACGATGCCTAAATGAAACATGAGCGTAAGGTGAATGGTTAACTGGTAGAAAAAAGTTTAAAGAAAAATACAAGGAGGGACAAACGTGGTAAGAGTATAGAATTAGGCTCTGCGAGCAGATGTGTAGAAGCGCATTTTTGGCCTTCTGACCGCTGGCTCCCGAGGCTAGCAGGGTGCTGTCTAGGGCTAAATTTCAAATCGCTCAGGTACGGCTGAAGGCCAAGTTTAAGGAAATACGGCTTAGCGACGAACTGAGCTACTTCAGCAAATGCTGCAACTCCCACTGGGAACATTTTTATCTTTGTAAGGACCAGGCCAGCATGTTAATCGTCTCCACTCAGCAGATCACAAAGCAGGCGTGGGTCCCGACCGCCGCCGGAGTTGACACGGCGATCAGGGGTTCGGCCAGGGAGCCGC